TATGGATCGACACTTTATTGATGCACCTTGTAAAATTCATTCTGGAAAAAAAATATCGACACAAACTATATTAGTATCGACATGACCCTTAATGTGTATAAGAAACATGTACAACATACTGCTAACTTTTCTCTCATTCATAATTATATTCACATAAAAAAATATAAATCGTATACAAAATTATAAATCGTATACAAAATTATAAATCTTATACAAAATTAACTCGACATTTACATCATGCATCCTTTTGTTATTCTTATGTAATATTGCGGCTTTTGTTATCTCCTGTCTTCGTTCATTTTGATTGTGGCTTACGAGATCATTTAATACTCGCGATCGATCCCAGTCTCCAACAACCTATATTCAAATTGTCAGAACGTTAAGTATTGTCAACTACAGCATTCAATCTACGACTTTTAACAATTTTACCACAAACAATTTTTTCTATCCACTTACAAAATCACCAGTTGCCCCTGTAGAACCGATCGATTCCATCCACATCATCACATACATGCCGCAATCATATCTGTTACAAAATTTGAAAACCACACATGTCAATTATGATGAATACTGCATAAATTAAGCTTTCTATTTGTGATAACATCTCATACCCATTCAATTGCTTATTCTTCTTATGCTCCACAAATTTGAAGTTTTTCAAGGGATACTTTCCTAGAGATCCACATGACTCAACCCAAATGCGTTTCTTATTATAAGAATCTAATATTTTAATCTGCATTAAAATAGAAGAAGTTATGCACCAAAAAAATTATGCATTATAATTTACATAATGTCCTTTCATACATACATACATACCAATCTCTTAGCATCCTTCACTCTCTGTTTAGCTGCTTCAGTTGTAAACATACTATCATATATTGTTACAACATGATCTACCATATCCAACACCAACAGATACCAGTGTGAATTATGGTAGTTTATTGTGATCATTATCTGCAACAAATTTCACACCCAATTTGACAAAATTCAACATTCTATATCCGAAAACATCATTTGCAATTGGTATGGTGTCTTACCTTCTCACAGTCCGTGAATTTCACATAGTTATCCAATATGACACCCCAGAAGGTAGAAATATTCTCAACACTTTCTTTATTGTTGGCTTCCAACGCCTGTTGCTGTAATTACGCAACAAACATTATTAATTTACCGTCTATAACACTACTTTTCAATATTTATTAATTTAACTCACCACTAAGAGGTATGGAAGGTAGCCAATCCTCCGGTGTGACTGTGTGATGTAAGGTTCCTTTTCAGCATCACTCATTGAATTCCATTTGGACCTCACATCTTTTTTCACCTAATATTAAACATAAACGTTTCTTAATCAATACATTAACACTAAATACTAATACTACTCAATGTCAATTTCATTTTACATACCGAACCGCTCTGTGTGCCATCTCCCTTCATCCTTTTGCATTCGGCCATACTGTTAACATTTAAAATTTGTAATCAATTTAAAGTTTATCGATACTTTAATCCAATTACCATTTCAACAATAATAACAAAAAGACATTGATACTTACTAGAAGTACATATATCCACCCTTTGGTTGCTTTCGAGTCTCGGCCTCAATTTCAAAGTCATCTGCTCCACCAACAATTTTCCAACCCATTGACTCCATTTTTCCTTCATATATCAGTTTACGCAAATCAAATTATTTTGTTACATACACTTTTCAATATACAAATATAGATAACTACTCTTGTGGTAAAACGGTTTTCTTCAAAAGAATTTGAATGGCCACACCAAAATGTGTCGGCACATTTATACAACCTATAATATCATTTTCTACCTATAATATTTAATAAAAGTATCGACATTTATCGTTTTCCTTGAATATCTATTTCTACCTGCAATCGGTCCCAAATGCTTCCTTACTCCAAACCCCAAACAACACATAAAAAACCCTATCGCGATTACTGTAATAATAAAAAATTAGGGTTTCGACAACATACTTTTCGATTCGACTGCAACAACAAACAAACAAACTTCGCTTTAGAAACGCCTTCTGAAATGCAGCAACAATTACTCTTCGATTTCAAAACTCGTCCGTTCTATCTATTTTCAGAGGATATTTAGCTTATATTTTCATCGGATATGTTATTTATATTTAATCGATACAAATACAAAAGTGTCGATACTTTTATGTCAGGTGTCGATACTTTCGAAAGGATAATTACCTATTTCTTTGAAAGTGTCGATAATTTATTACACGTACTTACGAAAGTATCGACACTTTCAATATATCCGGTATCATTTTACCGTTTTTTATCATTTTGATACCGGTTTTATCATATTTTTACCTGTTATATCGTTGTGGATCGATATTTTTTTTTAAAGTATCGACACATTATAGGCGCTATAACTGCTTCTCTTTTAAATTCACAAAGTGTCGATCCTTATATAACGTATCGACACTTTTAATTTTACCGGTTTTATCATTTTGTTACCGGTTTTATCATAATTTTACCTGGTATATCGTTTTGGATCGATATATTTCTTAAAAGTATCGACACTTTTTAGGATTTAAAACTGCTTTTAAAGTTATGTAATTTATGTTTCAATTTATTTAATAGTGTTTTATGTTTTCCACCTACAATATTAATTAATAATTTAATTTACACAAAATTTTATTTGATTGTTTTGATATTTTATAAAATATTATTTAGAATTTAAATTTAACAATATTAACCAAATATAATAATAAATATGTTTTCAACAGTGAAATAAGTATGGACACTTTTATAAAAATGATATATACTTTTTTGAAAGTTATGTAATTTATGTTTCAATTTTTTTAATAGTGTTTCATGTTTTCCACCTACAATATTAATTTAATAATTTCATTTACACAAAAAATTATTTGATTGTTTTGATATTTTATAAAATATTATTTAGATTTTAAATTTAACAATATTAACTAAAGATAATAATAAATATATTTTCACAGTGAAATAAGTATGGACACTTTTATAAAAAGGATAGATAATTTACAATATAACAGGTAAAAATATGACAAAACCAGATTCATTATGACAAAACCGGTAAAATTTACTTGATATGTTAAAAGTATGGACACTTTTATAAAAAGGATAGATACTTACCGATAACCAAAGTTTACCGGTTACCAAATTTTTTAATAGTTTTTCATATTTTCTACCTAAAACATTATTAGTTGTCAACATAATAGGTACCGCTAAACCGAATTTATTAAATACATTTTAATGTATCCGGTAATGCTGTATATTAGCCGTATATTAACCCGCCTTTCCTGAGACATTCCCAACTAGATGGCCTAAGAAATATTTCAAGCATTTCTTGTTAGAAACATAGGCCTAGCCTAATGGCTAGAAGATGGCACACCCATCCCCTATTGTCCCGAGTTTTAAGTCCATGAGTTTTTTTAAAATTCGAATTGGCTCTGAAATTTATAACAAAGTGTTAAAATATACTCGTAATTAACTGAGATAATTATTAATATTAATCTATAAATTTCGGGGTGTGACATATATGTTTTCAAAGACAAAGTAATCAGATTTCTTTTGTTTCTTTCCAGTATTTTCGTTGGGCTGCTATGAATATGAACTGATAACAGCAATGCTTCTCCTTCAAACATATGCAAACTTTCAATGGTGTGTGTATATATAGAGATAAACGTAGAATTTTATGTTGGGAGCAAACTTAAAATTTTAAAATTTTATGGACGAAAATAGATTTTTAATAGAAAATATATATTAAAGAATTTAAAATATATAATAATTTTAAAATTTCAGATGATGATAACCCTACCTACCTGCCCCTTCCGTCCATCACTGTACATATATATGCGTGTTGTTTTATAATTTGCGTTCACTTAATCCTCCATTTTTTTTTATAATTACACTTAAATTTTATCTTCTCTTTGACCATTCTTTCAGGGTTTCATAGAGACACATGGAAGTGCAAAAAGTGGAGATAACGAGTTGATACAAATTCACGATAAGAAACTACACTCGGAGCGGTCTTGTTCTGCAACAATTTCATCGGACAGTAGATATTTATGTCCATCAAAACCCCACCAAGAAAAAAATTACCGTTCTCGAAGAAGAAGACAGACAAGAGCAGACCCTCGAGCTGTTTCCACTTGAAACCAACATTAATATCAGCAACAAAAACACCAATCAGAAAGTACGCATCAAACTATAACTACAACAACAACACAATATTTTGAGTTTCTTCCTCTGAAGATCTGAACAAGAACACAAGGTGGGTAATAGATAATAGGTATTAGCTAAGCTTAACATGTGGGCAACATATGCAGCAATTAAATACTAATTTTTCTAGTTGAGTTAAAAAAGATGGTTAACAGCTAGACTTTGTTGTTAGTTTTCTTCTTTGTGAGGAGGAGGAGGAGGAGGAGGAGGAGGAGGAGGAGGAGGAGGAGGAGGAGGAGGAGGAGGAGGAGGAGGAGGAGGAGGAATCTTTAACCACATAAATCACTTGATGATGAATTCCCTTCTTCTTAACCATATAAATCACTTGATGATGAATTCCTTTATTATCAAAATTTTATAACTTTAAATTAAAAAAATAAAAGATAATGTAAATAGTATGATTGACATTATTATTATTATTATTATTTTTATTAATCTAAAATGATTATGAGTGTAATATTTATTTTAAAGATTCTCAATAATTTGATAATAAATACTTAAATACTTTAATAATTACTGATGCTCGTATCAAACACCTTAAAGCTAACAATTATCTGAAATAATTTTTTCGTGCAATTGATATTATTTTTGAATTACAATTATCTTCTAAGATAAGACAGACAATTTTTATAAACGTTGCCCAAAAGAAATACGTTAGTTACCAAGTCGAGATAACAGTTAAATATTAGGGGGCAGAAAGTGTATTAAGCAGAGTAAAACCCTGATACTTCCCATAATATCCGCTTCAACCCTCGTTCTTTCAAAAAGGTCGCGCTCGAAATATAGATTCCAGGCGAGCCCGTCTCTGATCTCTCTCCCTCTGGCAATGAACCATGTCCAGGGTTTTCATCAATTTCAAGGCGCTGTTAGCTTCCCCTGCGTCGGCGTCGTCAGCTGCAGCAGCCCATTTTTCTTCTTCGGCTTCGATCGCCACTGCTTCCAAATCAGCTACTTCAAAAGCGGCTCAGAAAACTCCGAAAAAGTCGACCACTTCAAAACGCAAGGCTGAAAAACCAGCTACTCCCCGAACCAGGACCCGACCGTCTGGGATTTTTAAAATTGCCCCTGTTTCCCCTGCTTTGGGTCAATTCGTTGAAGCCCAACAGGCTTACCGTACCGACGCTGTTAAGCAGATCTGGAACTATATCAAGGCCCACAACCTTCAGGTTCTCTCTATCTCTGTAGTGTTTCTTTTGCTTCCTTTATAAAGTTGATTGCTTTTCCTGGGTTTTCCTTGCTGTCTTTTCCTGGGTTTATCATTTTATTGGAATTGCTTTATTTTAGTGTCTCAGGAATGATGAACAATGTAAAGGAATGTGGGCTTGAGTAAATGTCTGGGGAAATGCTTTCAACTTTGGTTTTTTTTATAAGTTTGATTTATTTTTGGTTCTTACCCCATGTTGTTTGCTTGCTGGGTTTCTGAGGTTTATGTATCATTTTCATTGTTTTCTTTTCTCTCCCCACTCTCTGTTGTTTCTAATGCTGGGTTTTGCACGTGTTTGGTGTTTAGTGTTGAAGAGAAGTTAAGCTGGCAACTGTAGTTGGATTAGTTTTGTGAATGTTCAGTTGTCAATGTAGGTCTCATTTAGGGAGATTGGATTCTTATTGTTCATGAATCTAACTTTAGTTCTTTTGAAGGGTATTGAAATTTATGCTTGGGTTGTTAGTGTGAAAGGATTCTTTTCCCTGTTGTGTTTTTGAAGTTACAATTTTAGGAGAAAACTTGTTATAATTCAGTGAAGTGATGTGAGTAGAAGGCATATCAGTTTCTTCATGTAAGAAAGTGGTGTAAAGGTGAACCGAAAGAATGGAGTGTTCCAAAAGTGATTTAAAAACTTTGGGTTCTGTGCTTTAATTAAGTCATAGGCTATCCAACCATAGTCCTTATTGCATCTCCTGATTTTCCACACGCTAAGTTCTTGCTTGGATTTTGGAGAGAAAATATTGAGACTGGAGCACTGTAATGGATCTTTCCTATTTCTGGTGACAAATGTTGTATTCATTTATACATCATTTACCCTTTTCACAGTTTCAATTAATATGCTGATTGAGCATTTGAGTTTTCTAAATGCAGGTTGTATTTGGTGTTTGATATCTCTGTCTTTTAAGATGTCTACCTCCGAGGCTGCATTTTCACCCTCTGCTTTCTTTATCTTATTTAATGTTTGCTTAAGAGTTTCCATTGGTGAATTCACATTTTTCCACATATTTCTCACGCAATGTTCATTCTATGCACACGGTTTAGAAATTTGACCTTTTAAGGGAATTCAATCGGTGCCTTACTATGGAGTAGCCATTGTCAGTAGAAAAGTGATCACGAGTGAACAATTACATAAATATGGGATCATAGTTGAGATTCTCTCTACGGTGTTTATGGATCCTCATAACCTCATCCGTTTCATATTTTGTCTATTGAAGTTAACAGAAATGTATGTGGTTTATATTTTTGTTTTCTTAAGGCAGAAATGGTAATTCTTTTGAGTAACAGAAATTTATGCAAACTCTTGTAAGCGGTTACTGTCATAATTGCGGTATATGCTGCATGTTGTGATGTCAAAGTTGCTGGTTTTACTATGTTGTGTTTAGTAGATTTTGCTTAGATATCATATTTTGAGTGACTGACATTTTTTGTATGAGTATACTTTCTAGTAACATGCACTGAAATATATGGAAACTTTTGCCTGCAGAATCCTGATAACAAGAGGGAGATCTTTTGTGATGAGAAGCTTAAGACCATTTTCGATGGAAAAGAAAAGGTCGGTTTCCTGGAGATTGGGAAAATGCTATCACGCCACTTTGTGAAGTCTAGCTGACCTCTTTTCATATTTTGCCATTGGTTGCCCAACCAACATTGAGCTATATATAGCTCTTCCTGTCATTCTTAACTGAACTCTTTTCATGTGTGTTCATGTTTTGAGAGCTGAGCTGTCTGGGGCTAGCCTTGCAACTAAGAAAGAGGTCCAAGCTGGACTTCTGTAAAAATTCAGTAGGACCAGGGAGTGAAAAAGTAGATATTTTTAATTTGGTTTCCTTATTTTAACTGTACTGTGTATGGTAACTGGATCTTTGAACAATTATTGGTTTAGTCATTCTATCATGAGGAAGCCATTGTTGATATTGAATTTCAGTGATCGAACTTGTTTATGGCAAGTGGTATCGGTTGTGGTCTGACTGCCTCAGGCGAGCTCCCCGAAGATACCTGCATGTGAAAATGTATTAAAGAACAAAACCCATTGCTTTACGTTATATGAATGTCTCAGTTTATTAGGAATCATAACCCAGACTGCAATATTTGCATTCATTAATCCCCACACTATCCAAAGTTTGTGTATTAACCAACTGTTTAATGTGTATGGTTCTATGTGAATAGTCAACTTGAAGGAACCAAATCTATAAAACCATATATTTTATACTTACAAGTTTTAATTTTTGTTCATGATAACATTTTCTTGTGTTTTTCCATAATTCTTGCACTATTTCAAGTTTGCGGAAAAAATTTGTGGGTTGGCCCCTAAAATATGTTTGGAGGGCTGATTATAAAATATCCCTCTGTTTCATCTTTAGACTGACATGCATTCTTGAAAGGATTTTGAAGGTTATTTTCATGTGACTGGATGTGTCAGACAAGAAAAATAAAGTTTCGGAGTAAGACAATATGGTTACTGGAGAAAATAAAATATTTTGACATTTATAATGTAGTAGAATCGATTGAGTGGCCTCAATCGTAAAAACAACTGTCTTTTATGTTTTGTTATTTTTTACGTTGGATGTTATAAGAAGTACTAAGAACTTGTTCTTTATAAGGTATCAACTGAAACTTGGCAGTGGCACCATCATATCCACCAAGAATTCTGGATTGTTACAACATGAAAGTGTTCTTTTTATGGCTTCTACATGCCTGTCTAAATAGAATAGGCATTTTGGTCTTGAAACATAAACCAATATCCAAACGCACATTGGGAGGGGTCCCGAGCCTTCAACACCTTCAGATGGTCAGAATTTGACAGTTTTTTCTAGTCTTGAAACCAGATAGATAGACTCAGACTAACAAAGATTGCCAGAGGAAGACGAAAGAAGGAATAATATGGATTACTTGTGAGCCTGTAAAATTATAGAGGAAAAATGGTTTCTTCTCTTTGCTTAAACAGTTGTGCAGTCCCAAGGGCTGCAAAACAAACTCTTTCGTCGGTAATACAACTCCACAAAGTCCCTTCTATTCGTTCACACAAACACTGCATTTCCAGAGCTTCTGCTTCTATTCGCTCTCAAGTATGCCGACCTTAATCTAACTGACAAAATTTCTTAGGTCCCTTAATAGTTAACCCAAATATATCTCTAATGGTCACCTCCTAATCTCCTTCAATATTTAACCCAATGGCGAGATAAGCATACCGTGTCTTTCTTCCGAGGTGGTTCCGGTTTATCATTCTTGCTTCTAGATTGATTTGCTCGGATTCTGAGATTATAGGGCGACACGTGGATTCACCTCACCTGATTTCGGAGGGTACACTCTCTAAGTTCTCGTCATATTCGTTGAAAATGGAATCCGGTAGTGTCATGCAAAAACTGATCACCACAATTTCATCGGATTCCTGTTTGTCCAAAGCATTCCATAGATGAAAACAAAAGGTATTTTCCGATTCGATCCATATGATATCGTTAGCATTGATAGTCTGGGATCACCACAAAATTCTCCGTGATGGCGAAATCATGCATCATGGTCGGCACTGGCAAGGGAATCTCGATGTTCTATATTTTTTTTATCGTCGAGTGAAAATTTGGAGTACTTTAAGTACTGTTTTTGGACAACATCGTAGCTCAAATCGAAGAGTTCCTTGGAAACATGGTCGATTTTGGGATGAATGATCATTGTCGAATAGAGTTGTTGTTCGAAATCGTATCGTCCAACTGTTTCCAGATCTCTTGAGGGAGTGATACGCACGTGGTAGGGGAGATCATCCTTGAACTTGACAAGAACTCAGTCGTTGAAGTAGACTAAACAAGCGTTGGCCACGCCGGTGCCTTGTTTATGATTGACGAGGCCGAATGTCCTCGAGCATAAAAAATATAAGCCTTGCAAATTGCAATCCCCGAATAGACATGGAGTTCGTCGATTGCTTTAGGGAAAACAAGGCGGCCCAATTTTTTTCTCCCGTAAAAGCCTTGCCTTTCCGTGAACCAGCAAGCGTAACTAGCGTTGCCATTGTTGATGCTAACAGCATGAACCATCCCATCGCCGTCAAACAAGTGGTGGCTAGAAACCAGCTCGAATAAAGGATTAGCTCTGTTCCGTAAATAAACGCCATTTATAGAAGAAAGGATGGTGTCGGCAATGGGGAGAGAACGCTTATCGGGCTGTTCCGGAAAGGTAGCAAAGTTTTCTGGCGATTTGAATGCGTGGGTCGACAGTTTTAGGTAGTGGGTGTTGAAGCAGGGTGAAGCCACATGATCCTGCTAGATTTGGGTCATCACCATCATCTAGAAATTTCAAAGAGGTCAATTGCAAGGTTTTTCAAAGGGTAGCTACCTTAAACATTAGTGACCAACTATGTAATTTACCTAAAAATATTTCAGCATTTATAATGGAGTAGAATCCATTGAGTGGTTTAAGTGGTAAAAACAATTGTATTTTATATTTTGTTAATTTTTACGTTGGTTGTTGTAAAAAGTACTAAGAACTTGTTCTTTTTGAGGTATTAAACTAAAACTTGGTAGTGGCACCACCATATCCACCAAGAATTCTGGATTGTTAAAACATAAAAGTGTTCTTTTTATGGGTTTCTACATGCCTGTCTAAATAGTATAGGCATTTTGGTCTTGAAACATAAACCAATATCCAAACGCCCATTGGGAGGGGCCCCGAGCCTTCAACACCTTCAGATGGTCTGAATTTAACATATTTTTCTAGTCTTGAAACCAGATAAATAGACACAAACCAACAAAGATTGCCAGAGGAAGATAGAAGAAGGAATAATATGGATTAGTTGTGAGCATGTAAAATTATAGAGGAAAAATGGTTTTTTCTCTTTGCTTAAACAGTTGTGCAGTCCCAAGTGCTGAAAACAAAACTCTTTCGTCGGCAATACAACTCCACAAAGTACCTTCTCTTCGTTCTCACAAATACTGCATTACCAGATCATCTGCTTCTATTTCAGTTTCCATTTCTAATAAAAAGGAGCATAGGAGTACTGATCTGGTGGCTCTCGAGTATGCCGACCTTAATCTCACTGACAAAATTTCTCAGGTCCCTTAATATTTAACCCAAATATATCTCTAACAGCCACATTCTATTTTCCTTTAATTTAACCCAATGGAGAGATAAGCGTATTGTGACTTTCTTCTGAGGTGATACTGGTTCATTATTCCTGCTTCTATGTTGATTTGCTCGGATTCCGAGATTATAGGGCAGCGCGTTGATTCACCTAAGCCTGCTTTCGGACAATATTCTCTTTAACCTCTCATCATATTCGTTGAAAATGGAGTCCGATGCCTTGTTTATGATTGACGAGGCGGAAGTGTCCTCGAGCATAGAAAATCATAATCCTTGCAATCCTCGAATGGCCATGGAGTTCGTCGATTGCTTTAGGGAAAACAAGGTAGCCCAATTCTTTCTCCTGTAAAAGCCTTTGCGTTTTCGTGAACCGGTAGATAAAACTAGCATCTTCATTGTTGGTGCTAACAACATGAACCATCCCGTCACCGTCAAACAAGTGGTAGCTAGAAACTAGCTCGAATAAAGGATTAGCTCCGTTCTGAAGATAAATGCCATTTATAGAAGTGATGGTACTGTTAACCGGGAGAGAACGTTTAACTGGCTGTTCCGGAAAGGGGGCAAATTTTCCGGTGATATGAACGTGTGAGTCAACAGTTTTAGGGAGCAGGTCTTGAAGCAGGGTGAAGCCACATGATCCTGCCAGATTTGGGTCACCAACATCGCCTAAAAATTTCAAAATAGTCAATTGCAAGGTTTTTCAAAGGGTGGTTACCTCAAACATTAGTGACCAACTGTGTAATTTACCCCAAAATATTTTAACATTTATAATGGAGTAGAATCCGTTGAGTGTCCGCAGTGGTAAAAAACAAACTGTATTTTATGTTTTGTTAATTTTACGTTGGCTGTTCTAAGAAGTACTAAGAACTTGTTCCCTTTGAGGTATCAACTGAAACTTGGCAGTGGCACCACTACATCCACCAAGAATTTTGGATTGTTAAAACATAAAAGTGTTCTTTTTATGGGCTTCTACATGCCTGTCTATATAGTATAGACATTTCGGTCTTGAAATATAAACCAATATCCAAAAGTACATTGAGAGGGCCCCCGAGCCTTCAACACCTTCAGATGGTCAGAATTTGGCAGATTTTTCTAGTATTGAAACCAGATAGATAGACACAGGGATTGCCAAAGGAAGATGGAAGAAGGAATAATATGGATTAGTTGTGAGCATGTAAAATTATAAAGGAAAATGGTTTATTCTCTTTGCTTAACAATTGTGTAGATAAGGGGGGATTGTCTCCATAAAGGCGAACTAATATATGACTAATATACGGCGTTATCGGATACATTAAAAGATATTTGATAAATTTGGTTTAGCGCTACCGAAAATATCGAGTAATAATAATGTAATAGGTGGAAATCATAAAGAAATATTAAAAAATTTGGCAACCGACAAACTTAGCTTGTCGGTTTGTGTCGATACTTTATAAAATTTATTGATCCATACAATATAACAAGTAAAAAATGACAAAACCGGTCTATAAATGACAAAACAGGTAAAGCGCTACCGGATATATTGAAAGTGTCGATACTTTATAAAAATATATCTATCCATAACAATATAACAGGTAAAAAAATGACAAAACCGGTCTATAAATGAAAAAATAGGTAAAGCGCTACCGGATATATTGAAAGTGTCGATACTCTATAAAAATGTATCGATCCATAACAATATAACAGGTAAAAAAAATGACAAAACCGGTCTATAAATGATAAAACAGGTAAAGCGCTACCGGATATATTGAAAGTGTCGATACTTTATAAAAATGTATCGATCCATAACAATATAATAGTTAAAAAAATGATAAAATCGGTATATAAATGACAAAACAGGTAAAGCGCTACCGGATATGTTGATAGTGTCGATACTTTATAAAAATGTATCGATCCATAACAAAACAGGTAAAAAAATGACAAAACCGGTTTATAAATGACAAACAGGTAAAGCGCTACCTGATATGTTGATAGTGTCGATACTTTATATAAGTATCGACACTTTTGGAATTTAAAAGAAAAGAAGTTATAGCGTCAATAAAGTGTCGATACTTTATAAAAATGTATCGATCCATAACAATATAACAGGTAAAAATATGACAAAATCGATCTCGAAATGACAAAACCGGTAGTAAAAAAGTGTGCTTGTGTGATCATTTTTATTTTAGAATTTTCATTTTTTAATACAAAAAGTTGGATATTTTAAGCAAAACCAAGTAAGAAAATAACAAAAACTTTGCAGTAACAAAAGAATAACATTGGGAAACCCACCATGTTATCAGTTTCTCTCATCCAGAAACAAAAATCTCTCAACATCTCTCAACGCAAACTTATGATACTCTTATTATCTCCATAGGATAAAGTTAGGCCAGTTTTAGTTTCTTAAAGAATAAACTTATGATTGAAGAACTCAAACTGGTGCACGCATAGTGTCGATGCATTTATGAAAGTATCGATTCAAAAACATCGAAATCGATAATTATTATGTAACAGGTAAATTTATAATGTAACCGGTAAAAATATACTGGTTAATTAGCAAATAGGTTTACATTATGTATCGACACTTTTTAAATATGTATCGATACTTTTTTCCCAAAATGAAAGCACAACGAGGTGCACGCATAAAGTGTCAATACATTTAAAATTGTATCAATCCCAAAAATATCAAAACCGATAATTATAATGTAATAGGTAAATTTGTAATGTTACCGGTTTAAATATACCTGTTTAGTTAGAAAATAGATCAATATAAGCGCTACCTATTACACACTACAGCAAAAATAGTTTTTAGCGGCAGATGTACCGGCATTTTTACTGCAAACGCCGGTAATTGTTTACATATAGCGGCGTTTTTGAACAAACGCCGCAAAATACTATACTTTAGTGGCGTTTGTATAAAAACGCCGCTAAAGAATCGTAATGTAGTGGCGTTTTTATACAAACGCCGCTATAAACTAGTATTTTAGTGGCGTTTTTATACAAACGCTGCTATAGACACGTACTTTTATGGCGTTTTAATACCAAACGACTCTATAGACTCATACTTTAGTGGCATTTTTACACAAACGCCGCGATAGACACGTACTTTTGTGGTGTTTTAATACCAAACGCCGCTATAGACACGTATTTTTGTGGCGTTTTAATCCCAAATGCCGCTATAGATTCGTACTTTAGTGGCGTTTTTACACAAACGCCACTATAGACACGTACTTTTGTGGCGTTTTAATAACAAACGCCGCTATAGACTCGTACTTTAGTGGCGTTTTAATACCAAACGCCGCAATTGTCATATAACCTAGTAGCGTTTACGTAAAAAAACGTTGCTACTGAAAACTACTTTAACATATCGAAACAAAACCCTAATTTCATAGATTCAGTCTGGGCATCGAAATATATCTCCCCTCCCTTTTATCTCTTCGCATCCACTCTCATCCTTTGATCCTTCGACCTCCATTGCTCGATCCATCTTCCCCTTACATTCAACCCAGATATCTCCATTCTTTTCATTCCCCTCTTTCATTGCTTTTAGACATCTCTCTCTTCCATTTCTCTCTGCAGGCACAAGGCGCAACAATGGCTTCCAAATTTCTGCAGCTCTATGGTAAAATTCAGCTTTTAAATTCCTTGAAGTTGGATTTTGGTTCCTATTAAGGTAATATCCTAAAATCTGAATCATGGTATAAGATCTGTGATCACATAGTTCAGGGATGAAATTTGTGGGTTTGGATACAAACTGATGTATGCACTAGGTGGCGTTGCACTCTTTTTCCTCTGTAGTGTGATTTTATCTAAGCCTCAATTTAGCGGTGTGTAAACTTAGAGGGTTGTCCTTATATTAAAAGCCAATACCATGATTCTGCAACCTGCTCGTTTAAAACATCACAAGATTACTTTATATTAATATTTCAATATTTTGTAATATAATTAGATTTAGAATTAAATAAAAAGTTATCAGTGAACCAATCTATATCTAGTTGGATGTTTGGGCCTGGCAGGTTGTCTCCCTGGGATACCTGCATAATCCTTGTTGCTTTATTCTTTCAAATTTGCTTGCTGCTCAGTTGCCTTTCCTCCATGCATGCCTGTGGTTTTCCATATATTTTCTGGATTTTTGTTATTCTTCAGTCATATTTTTTATCATGAAGCTTTGCACAAAGAATCGCACCCCCCAAAAAAATATATATGCAACAATGTGTTGACTTTGTACCCACTTTTTTGTTGCAGCAATGGTATGTTCTATATCCGCTTGAAGGTCCATGGTATGAGCTATTGGTCATTCCTCTTCGTTTTGAGCTTCTGTGTTCCATCATGATACCCATATCTATTAAGGTAACCCAATATAAAAATACTAATGATTTTGAATTGTTGCCCATGCTCTTCTTTTTTTTTGGTATGAACCTTGATATACTGAACGGACCAGCTTGCCACTAATAGCATAGAAGGTTCTTAGCTAGTCACTGTACTGTGTTACACGAGACATTGACTAGATCAAAATATGGTGCAACAGTGATGTGAGTTTTGAGTTTAAAATAATAATAATAATTATGGCATGATTATAATATGATTAGGAATGCATTACAACTTTACTAATGTAGAAATGTTTTAGTTTCATTTGATTGTACTAGGACTAGTAGGACAAGTGTAGAATGTTTTGTTCAATCATTTGATTGTTAATAGAAATCCAAGTGGGTGTCAGAAACTAGTTCTAGTTTAAATTTATTGTAGACACATGTCCTTGTACTGATGGTCCAAGTTAAAATCTCTTGGATTAATGGGTTATTTTCTAATACTCTTAGGTTCGGTGGTTGGGAGATGATTGGTTTCTTTACTTGAAGTAAGGTTTTGAATAGATGAGAATATAAGCTTCATCTTAAATATCCTTTTAATTTTTGCTTCTAATCTTGTTTATTTGCTTCAATTTTTGATTTTATTTCCATATTTGAGTTCTTTCTCAGATATTTTATCTTGTTAACCATCAAGCCTTTTTTTGCAGGTCTCTCTTGATCTTGTGAAAAGTTTATATGCAAAGTTTATTGATTGGGATTCTGAGATGATAGATTATGAGACTGGTATTCCTTCACATGCAACGAAGTAAGTATTTTTTCCAAGAAATCAATTAGTTGGAGTGCCCTTCTTAGTATACAAAGCTGGTAGCTAAGTTGATGTCACTCAAACTGAACATTATCTGTTCAAATGTTTGAGTCTTGTATGACTTGGCACACTTAACTCTCCTTTTGTTTTTACTTTTCACAACTCTTACCTCTCTCTTTTTTTCCTTACTATATTATTAAGTTTATTTTTACAACTAAAACTTTGTTATATAGGAGTTGTTTTTGAAAAGAATTATATGCAATTATTTAGCTACATGGTTGGATTCTGCCATAGATTTTAGTGAATGTATATATTTGATAAAATTGGTTTGTTTTTATGTGGCAACACAGCAATAAGTGAGGACCTTGGACAAGTTGAGTACATAATGACTGACAAAATTGGAACACTAACTGAAAATAGAATGATCTTTAGAAGATGCTGCATTAATGGCGTTTTCTATGGAAATGAGAGTGGTGATGCGCTGAAAGGTTCGTTATCTATTTTTCACCTTCTTGCTCATTACCTAATCTTTTCTCATTGAATCCATTTTTAGGTTCATATTCTCATTGAATCCATTTTTAGGTTTCATTTCTGTTGAATGAAATTGTCTTGCTTGAATAATCAGGGACATTTTGACTTTTTATATCTTGCTAATGAAAGATGATATTTTATAATTGAGGGGGGTCCAAAATTGGGAATGGAGTTTAATAAGTTATTTTGCCCGTGGGCCGTAAATTCTATGTTTAAGATGAGAATACAAATTTCATCTTTAACATCCTTATTTTGCTTCAAGTTCATAGCTCTTGTAAATTCTGATTTATCATTTCAAATAGTCTTTAATAAGTTAATTTTTATGGTTTTAGTTTTTATTCTTGGAAATAACATAATGACTTACTGTCCTTGAGTTTAATGTAATGATCAAAGCTGACGGGATAGCGAAGAGCTACGATAAAGCATGTTGGCTATTTGATAGCATGCAGTGTCACGGTGTAGTTCCGGATAAATGCGGTTATAGTTCTCTTATACAGATTTTAGCTAGCGCAGATTTACCACACGTAGCGAAATGCTATCTGAAGAAGATGTAGGAAGCCGGACTTGTGAGTGATTGCATTCCATAATGTGCTATGATCTCAGGCTTTGTGAAATTAGGAGAATTGGGAATGGCTGAAGGACTATACAACGAGATGATTCAATCGGTAAGCTTTGTTGCTTGTAAGAATGAGTGAGTTTAAGAAAATTTGCGTTTAAAACTACTTTGAATCAGCCGTTCTGATAAACTTGGACATCATTGTATGATGCTTATTTTTTTTTCTCTCAGGGGCATTGCTTGTGTCAATTTTCGCATCTCCAATTGTATTAGCAGTGCAACTGCTGAAGTTGCCAAAGATTTATAGTCTTATAATTGGTTAGTCATCTGAATACTCTTAGCTGATAGATCTTTGTTTGTTAATTCTAACTGAACTTTGTAATTCCTTATAATTCTTTCAAGACATGCTATGTCAAGGATGCCAATCACAGGATCAGCTAGCAGAAGAAAAAGGGAACATATTTTTGTTTTCATTCAATGAGATATTTGTGTATGTTTAAAATTTCTATCGAATCTGCATTGTTCAGTCGAAAGAATCGTGTTTTTCTTATGCTCTTAGGGTTGTTTTGGTGATTTCTCGATTAAACTGTCTTCTTCATTATAGCTCTTTCATTCGTTACTTTTTAACATAAAAAAGACTAAAAGAGAGCGTTATTATTAATTAAATCATATGTGTATATAGTTCAAACCCTATTAAATTTACTAACATAGATATTATAATGTATATCTTTGCAAGCAAGAAATTGAATTCAATATTTAGGTTCATTTAATCGAAACTTTGATGAGTGCAAAGATGCGGTTGAATAGTATAATAATGAAGTATGAAATTTCGTGAGTTTGAAGGGAAGACCTATACTTGGGAATAACCCATCATGAGAACCTTGCTCACGCACGTTTGCTTTCTTTCTAACCTTTCCTTTTTCTGGAGTTTTGGAGCCTTTTTTTGGGTACTATTGATTTAAAATATGTTTGGTCCGATAATCTGTTAGAAGTTATCATGAAATTCAAGCTTGGATGTTTCTGGACAATTATTAAGATCTATCTCTATATTTTGCTTATCATCATGAAGGTTGCCCATGCCATAGAGTTGTTGACTGCTGGGACTGACCATGCAAAAATGTGTTGTTAACTTTTTTAACGTAAGATATAATGGATTTTCATATAAACTGATGATTTATTTGGATATGAAACTAGAGATCGGGTTTGCATTGCCATGGATGGGGCCTTTTCAAGTGGTATGCCAATTGGAGTAAGACCTCATGAAGCAAAATATCTGTGCAAGAAATGACAGGACGATACTAGCTCTGCATCATTGTTTTCCCATATAAACTGGATTTATCTCTTTGAATTTAAGCGCCTCATTATGACGAAGAGTTTTGAAGAATGTGTAAGATTAGAAACAAAATATCTTAGATATTATTGTTTATTATAGTTAATAATGTTGAACTACATTATATTTTACGTTAATGTAAACTTTGATTTATTATTATGGATTTCATTTTTCTTGTTATGGATTTTAAGTTTGTTGTTATCGATGTCAAGTTTATTGGAAAATGCTACAGGTTAAATTTGGGTAATAAAAGAGTAGAAAACAACATTTGACAAATTAGTTTTAATTTGCAAAATCAATTTCTTTTAGCTATAGAGAGGTAATTAGCGACGTTTGTATCTTAAAACGCCGCTATATACCAGATCTTTTGCGATGTTTGTAGGAAAAACGCCGCTAAATATCAAGACCTATTGCGGCGTTTGTGGACAAAACGCCGCTAAATATCAACACCTATTGCGGCGTTTGTTGGAAAAACGCCGCTAAATCTCAACACCTATTGCGGCGTTTGTTGGAAAAAGCCACCAAATATCAACACCTATTGCGGCGTTTGTTGGACAAACGCCGCTATATATCGTTACCTATTGCGACGTTTTTTGTTACCAAACGCCGTGAACTTTAGCGACGCTATTTGCAGCGGCGCTTTTTGCGGCGTTTGTCATAGCGCCGCATGTGTTTTTGGCGGTGCTTAAAAACGCCGCTATAGGTATAAAAAAACGCCGCAAATGTACAGTTTTGCTGTAGTGACATTATATAAGCGCTACCTAATATATTATTGTACTTGATAATATTTTCGCTTAAATGATATAACATAACCGGTCACGCCGTTTTTTAAACGCCGCACAACAACTACCTATCACATTATACAAACTGTATTTTATGTTTTGTTAATTTTTACGTTGGCTGTTCTAAGAAGTACTAAGAACTTGTTCCCTTTGAGGTATCAACTGAAACTTGGCAGTGGCACCACTATATCCACCAAGAATTTTGGATTGTTAAAACATTAAAGTGTTTTTTATGCGCTTCAACACCTTCAGATGGTCTGAAGTTGACAGATTTTTCTAGTCTTGAAACCAAATAGATAGACACAGACTAACAAAGATTGCAAGAGGAAGATAGAAGAAGGAATAATATGGATTAGTTGTGAGCCTTTAAAATTATAGAGGAAAAATGGTTTCTTCTCTTTACTTAAATAGTTGTGCAGTCCCAAGGGCTGAAAAACAAACTCTTTCGTCGGTAATACAACTCCACAACTTCCCTTCTCTTCTTTCACACAAATACTGCATTACCAGTTCAGTTTCCATTTCTAATAAAAAGGAGCTTAGGAGTACTGACATAGTGGCTCTCGAGTATGCAGATCTTAATCTCACTGACAAAATTATGAAATTGTACACTAAATTTAGAAAAGTTATACTCTACCCCTGAAGGTGAAATCCTGGTTCCGTCCCTGTCTATTTGGCTATTAATGTAGGGATCTGTATGGCATTATTATTGAGTTTGACATTATTGTCTTCCATAGGTTCGGCTCGGTTGACATTAAATGAGAAATTAAAATGTAAATAGTTAAAATGTAAAATCATAAAAAGAGCATATATATATATATATATATATAATGAAAGAAAAATCTTGATAAAATAAATACATCTGAAGATTATCTAGTAACATCACGACTCGTCTACTTATTACAAAATATGAGCAACAATCACAACCAAATAAGTATTATCCCTCGTATTCTACCAAACATGGGAGCGGTTCCTCAAAAGCATTGTTTAGAAGCAAGCTTCGCAGAGCCAACAGCAACAAAGGGCGAACAAGCTGACCTTACAAGTCAAAATAATTAGATTGGAGGATGATGATAATATAAAATACAAGGTTAGTCACTGAAATGATCGAATTGATTTTTCAGAATTATCTTTTTTCGGTGTGAAGTTTAAAATAAAACAGATTAATATAAAACTAAAAGAGGATTCGATTTTAATCGAAAGACTTACCTAATACACAAGTCTTTAGAGCGAATTAAGTAACATTTTAGGTTGAAATTTAAAATATTACGTTTTCCATAACAAATTTTATAAATTACTTAACTATTTTAGTTGCAACTTTAAAAGTTAAGAAACTCATATAACATTATCGGTTGTAATCGAAATTATTATCAATTGTATACCATTTTAATGTAATCAATGAAACATTTAGGTTCAAACCCGCCGTAATACAATATTCTTGGTTGTAACCGAAATTATTATCAATTGTTTAAGGTTTTAGGGTAAACATGGTAAGAATTTAAGTTAGGCACAATGTCAAAATTAACCCTCAATATTTATCAAAATAGTTATTCAGGCCCCTATTCTTTTTTTTGGAGCATATTTTGGCCCCCAACATTTTATTTGGGAGAAAAAATCCATCTATTGATGAAAATTGTTTGTTACATAAAATGTCGGATGCAAAAATACTCCAAGAAGAAAAATAAGGGTCAAAACAACCATTTTTAATAAACGTGAAGGACAATTTTAGAAATTATGCCTCTTAAGTCAAAAAGAAGTACGGTTGAATTCTGCATGAATATTTACAAACAAAAGTACAAAACTGTTAATGAGCTCTTACCAGCCTTCAATGAAGCCCCTATCTCCTTTCTTCTTTGAACGAGGGAAGCGCTCCTTCTGAGCTGCAGGTGGATCAGCAGTGGTGGGATACCCTAATTTCATCAAAACCAACAAAAAAGTAAGTTCTCAAATCTCCATTTATCGTCTGAAAGAAGAAGAGTCAGTAGGAATGGAACCTGCAGGGGGCTGATTCTCTTGTCCAAATTCTGACTTCGCCATTTTGGAGTGCACAGATTATTAGTTGGAGTATATGTGTCTCTAACTCTGCTACCAACCCATCAATTTATTTACATTTTTAGGTGTAACTGTTGACTTAAAAAATCCTATACATTGCTTTTACTTTGATTGGGTTATATCTGGTGCAGTGAAGAGGGAACGAAAAGTTGTATTTTTCCACCTCATGACATTCTAAAAGTAAACCAAAGAGGACAAGCCACGGCGTTCCTCGAGATGGATTTTGATTCCTTTGTTTGTCAAAAAGGAAAACCAAAGGCGGCCACAAGGATCCATCGTATTCAGATTCATAGAAGGTATAAGATTTTATATTATCATACAAATTTATAAAATTTTAAGAACAAAAATAAATTATTAATAAAATTATAAAAAAATATTTAAATTATATGATAATTTAAATTTTTTTAAGAAAGATAATTGTTCCGCCAAGTTCCGAGCCCTAAATCCATTGTATTCAGAATGTGAAAAGAATATCAATATTCAACAGTTGAGCTTGTGAAACCAATGAAATAAAGTGAATAAGGAGGCCAGTAGTGCTAAGAGAATATATTCTTTGCTTCTTTCACATGTCACAGCAGCGCCGAAAGGAGGCATTTGAAAACCGGCAACATATGAATATGAAATGTGATCTACTTTGCATACCAATTCGGGTGCGTAAAAAGGATATTTTGACACGCAGTTTTAGATTCCATGAAAGATGATTTGAGTGCGATGGTAGATTTAACCACGTCTTTAGGTTAATACTTGTACGCAATGGAGCTTACTGCATGTAGTTTTTGCTAAGTCTTGAAATTTAATTAATAGATTCGAATAATCAACCGCTATTGAAACAACGGTTGTTATTTTTTTTTGAACAATGGAAAATGGATCTTATTAATAATAAAAGGAATCAAATTATAACGCATCAGAATAAAGAGATAAATTTAGAGACAATAATCATCAAAATACTCAAATAAAAGTAAATAATAAACCTAAAAATACGAAGAAAATTAAAACATTTCATTGAGAATGACGACCAATATCTAAATATAATAATCTTCATACAAACTCTTTGTCTCTGTCGAATGAGACGTTTGACGAAGTGATAAAGGAGTGGAGAACGAACCAAATAATCTGACAGGATACTTCGCTACACAATTCTGATTACATCGATAAATAACTTTTTACCAAAAGAAAATATCTGACTATACGTGACCACCGACTAATTAATCAAAAACAATATCGTTTAAAACTATTATTACATGACAAGAACAAACATCGTAGAATCAAAATTCAAGAACTTCAGACTCATGTGCTTTTCTTCGAGTCACCCGTATCACAAAACACCAAGATAGATAATGACTTCGATTCCTCTCAGATTGTAATTTTTTTATGTTTATAAATTTAAATTATAAATTTCTATTATTTAAATTAACAGTTTTTTTTGTTTCCTTTTAGTTCCAAGGTTTCATCTCGATTAACTGGATTGATCCGGGTCACGCACATACAAACGAAACCTCCTTAGGACTAGTGGGGGCCATGACCCCACCCTAAATATATATATATATATATATATATATATATATATATATATTTAATTATATTTAATTTTATAAAAAATATATAATAAATTATTAAATTTGGTTATTTCAAAAAATATGTATATTATTTTAAAATTTGGAAACTACCTAAATATCATTTATTAGAAAGAATTAATATCTATGTAACACCCTAAACCCGATTGGGCCTAAAGTGTCACATTAGGCTATCAGGCAACCTCTGATTTTCTAAATATGCTCGTTTTCTTTTAAAACACACTCAATGGTATCATACAACATATAAAACAGTTATTAAAACATTTTACAAACCGGAGCTCCGTGACACATAATTTAAAATCAAAATAATACATCTCATTGTTTGATAAAATAAATACACAAGTAAGGTTCCCTGAATACACATGCCCACTAAAGCTACAATACAGTACTCTGAAGGAGATGTTAGAAGTTCTGCTACGACAGTGCTCCAGGAGCTGCTCAAGCTACTAACCTTCCAACGGGAAACATCTGAAGCCTGAGCTTACAAAGGCCGAAAGTATAATCACTAATCTAGACCAGCATAAGAATTTCATGAACATAAGCATGCTAAAGAAATGGTACTAAGTAGTAAGTACATGCATGCCTAAATCAAGTTCTACCTACTTAAGACTTAGCTGTTCTCATGCTAAAATAAGAGTCTCATGCTTCCCTTAATCCTCTGTTCTGCATTATCTAAATGCAACCTTGACTCTACTATGCAACACACAAACATAAACACATAAGATGAGGTAGGCATCATGGTGCTGTTGAGGGGCTACATCTCAGAGTTCACGCACCCCTATATCTTACTTATACTAATATACAACACACAAGCTGAGGTTGGCATCATGTTGTGGATGAGGGGCTACATCTTAGAGCTCACGCACCCCTCTAGCCTACATATACCCACGTGTAAATTGGGTTACGTTCTGGAACTACATCAGAAACGTACACCCTACCAACTTACTCCGTCGAGTCTTGGGGCATTTACGCCCAGCTGGCAAAAAAAGTGTTGTGACACTGACTGGTATATACCTAGACATACTAACAAACAAGACAATCGTCCTACTGCTAAAGTTGTTAGATTTTGCCCAAAAGACCAATCATATGATGATTGTAATGATACATTTTTATTTATCGATTTTATTGAATAAAGGCATTGCCACTGTCATTTTCAGTTATATATCTATGTTTAACATAAACTAAAAGATAATAAAGTCCAAATAATAATGTAATTATTATTATTAAAAGATCCTTAGTCAAGTATTATTATGGGCATGGACAATAATAATACGCTTAAGACTAACATGTTATTGATTGATGACAATGAGTTGTCACTGATATAGAGATGTCAGAATTGATACATGGTTATATTGTTAGAGAACAATGTATTGGATTGACCCACTATTAGCATATGTCTTGGATTATTATGTGACAGTCATAATATTACTCAAGGTGATGACTATATGTATGATCCTCAGACTTGAGATCATTACTATCTCAACATATATTATTGTATGTTTTGATACAATTAAACATGCTTCATAAATGGTTGCACTGTAAAAGACTGTTATTGAATATATCTCGATATATGTAGTTGGGTGTGTATGATTAAGATAGAATTTATCCTTCTTACATAATAGGAAATATATCATAGGCCACTTGATTGAGTGAGACTAGAAATGCATGGCCATGCTCGAATAAGTTGATATGAGATATCACAAATTATTTATTAATTATAGTCTACTCTAGATATCAAGAAACAATAGATGAGCTATACAAGTGTGCATATTGCAAGACATGTGCCTATTATAGATATAAAGGACAAAAGGATGTAATAATAAAAGAGTTAATCTCGAAGATGATATGTCAAATCATAATTTCTTGTAACTTAGGTGACAATGATATATTGCTAGATTTCACTCATTGTTTGTAATATTAGAATTGTTCTAATAATTACTACTAATGTTACAAGAACCTACAGGGTCACACCCTAGGGTTGAAATGAGCAAAGATGTACAATTTGTTGTACGTTACTAAAATATATTTATAGAGTTAATATATTATATTTGATATACATATGATTTTAATTATCCCGAATATAGTAAATAAACATTAAAAGAATGCAATTCTAATTACAACTCTTGTAATGGATATTTAATTCAGAATAATTAAATAAGAGTTTAAATAAACATTAAAGAGTGTAATTCAGATTATAAGTATTTAATGGATATTTAATTTGAATTAATTAAATAAGAGTTTAATTAATTCGAAATAAAAAAACCTATTATGTTAGGGTAACTCGGATATTTAAAGATAAGTGAGGTCTAGCAGACACACTTAATCTTCAGTCGTTTTCTCAAAACTGTTTTTGGGGAAAGTTAATTTTTTTTCTCAACTAGGTTAATTAAGTAGAGGCCAAGACGTTTTTCGTGGAGGCTAGGATTTGAACTGTTCCTGATTATCATTAGTCGTTACTGTCTTTGTTGATTTGCAAGGAACCCAATGCAAGTAATCGCATCCCTTCCTCCAGGTTTCGAATTTAACATACTTAGATCACTGGTGAAACCGTCGCATTTTGTTTTAGTTGCGCCGTGAGGTGCACCGACAGTCTCAACAAAAATCACTCGGGTGTCCTGGCTGTTTCTCGAGTGTCACACACAAAGGTTAGTTTTATGTTACTTATATATTTAGATATTTTAAGTTATTTTTTCCTCCTAGCTGCTATCTCGCTCGTTCTCTCATTTAGAATGTTACGCGAAGGCTTATTGGTCTATTACTGCTGTTATTTATTAGGCTGTTTTATGATGGTTGTTAGATACTTAAGAGCTTTTTGGTCATTCTCTGTCTCTGAAAAAGTCTCTATGTGTTCTCGGAGTTTCACAATGATTTATGAGTTTACTGTTCATAGGTTGTATTATTCACTAGCTTGATACCTGAATCGGGTTCAACTCTGAGTAACGACACCCTAGTCACTCCTGCTGCACTTCCCTTTAATTCATCCTAGAATTAGAGGGATGATAACACATCTACCATCCACTGAAATACTTTTAGTTCATGACTCCACTAACTTGCAATCTGATGAAATCGTCCTACTATTGCCGGTAAATCCCTAGAATGATCCACTAATCTTAGATACTTGCTACGTGCTCGACTGAAAAAAATTAAATGCCTCACCCCTACTATGGTTAGTTTGGTTGTAACCCACTCTTACGAGTGTATTCATGCCTCTTTGGTCTTTTGCATCCCTCACGGACTAAGTCTTATTATTATGGGTCATCTTTAGCTCTTACGGGCCTTAATCGGGTCAAAACTAACCATCCAAAATGATTAGTATCGATACTCTACTTGCAGTATCGATAAACTAGGGTCAATTATTCATACCCTTATGAGTATCGATACCAAAAATGAATTTTGTTATTGAAACGGGGGCTCAGTATCGATACTGTCACCCTGAGTATCGATACTGTAGGTGCAAT